CTGCACTCATGCAGTGGCTGCTTCTGCCTAGCACGTGTTGGAGGCGGTGAAGTCTCCAGGCACGTTCATTTCTGCAGCAGATTTCTTTGGAGTACCCGAACAGTCACAGCTTGGCTTCGGTAGATCAGGGGCTGCTGTAGGACAGGACTTTATTTGTCGCGCACCACGTGCTAGCATTTTTAGTGCTGGAGATTTGTTGCTGGGGCTGTTGAATGTGTGTACGAGGAAACCTGCGTGTCTTAAGCGGCAAAGCCGTTGGGGCGGGGTACTTTTTCCCACTCTCCACCTCTCGCATTTTGTTGCGTAAGCAAACAACTGCGTCGTTTCTTTTAAGAGTTAAGAAAAAACTTCTGCCAACGAGACAACCAATCCCTCTACAGTTCTTTTTGATGGTAAACTGGTACTGACATATGCCAGGGAGATCAGCTTGCTTCTAAGCAATCCTCAGCATTGCAAGCAGTGCCAGCTGCTGGCATGCCTTACCATTCCAGGCTATTTGCCGAATGCATCCGCCTCTCACTGAACGCGAAATACGATGGAGGTTTTAGCTTGTGGCACGAATGAGTTCATCAGTGTCTCTGCATTTCAACGGACAAGCATACACTAACAGATTTCAAGAAGATATGAAAGCTCTGAGGAAATCACAAAGTGCCCCGTGAGCCTACTTGTGTTTTTAGCTTTGTAGCGTGTTTCTTTTTTTGTTTCCAGAGGCGTCGAGGCGAAGCAGCCAAACTCGGCCATTCGCAAGTGTGTTCGTGTGCAGCTTATCAAAAATGGCAAAAAAATTACCGCATTTGTGCCGAATGACGGATGCTTGAACTTCATTGAGGTAAGATGGCGAAAAAGGTCGCAACATGCTGCACTGCTGGAGATTATCAGCCCGAACAGTTTTATGGCATTGGTGGCCTTCTCTGTCTTTTCATAATTGCCTGGATACCATTCAGTAATCCCCATTATCTTAGGCGGATCCAGAAGGGGAGGGGGGTGTGTGTTCCGCCACCGCCCTTCAGCAGCATAGGTACCAGTGCTGCAGAATCTTGGGTCTAAAGCTAAAACTAAAGCCCAAAGTAACTCTAAGCTGAAGTAACTCTTAAAAACACTGTTAGAACTCTGTTTTTAGTTTTTGCATAGTTCCAGGATGAAATAGGACTCCGCTCTGCACTCCCGTTGCCCCCTCTCCCCTCGCCCGCCCTCTGGTAGAGACGGTCCTGGGTCGGCCTATGCCTGTTATTCACTTATTCTCGCAACACAATTAGCCCAGCTCTTCTTTTGGACATATGTTGCGCAAAGACTCGCAATAAATCATTGAAAACGTGCTGTAGCTTGCGGACATTTGCCATGCATCGTTGTTTTGGGCAGCCGTTATCTTTTCTCCTCAGCCACTGTGAGATGCTTAAGAATATGGGATATGAATTATTAAATTTAGTTTGTTCTAGCTGTTGTTCCTTTGCTTTTCAGAATTGCGCAGCAAAGTGTCTTAGTGCCGCGAGTCAGAATGTGACTTTCTCTATGGTTTTTCTTGCAAAAATGCCAAGAATATCAGGACTGCGTGGTTGGGTATCAGTGTGGGTATCCCCTGTTAATGATGTTACTAGAATGTTGTTACACCCCGAGCGCAGCCATACCATGTTCCTCGATCTCGGGCTGCATACCCACCGCCTGTTCGTTGTACGTACATGGTGTTCTTAGAATGAATTTAGGGCAGTATGAAGTAGTGAAATAATTTTGAACCAGCAAATCGTTTTTGCATTTTTGTTCTGTTCCAAGCACCACAGTCTCGCTTTCGTCTGGTTTGTTCAGCTCGCTTTTTCACAAATTGTTTTGCACTATCTCCCAGGCAATAGGTTTCCCGGGATTCCTTAAGAACTGCCTCCTTGTTATTTTATTACCTCTTACATATAAATAGGAAAATACATTAACAAGGGCTGAAATAAGAGGAGGAGTCTTACTAGATCGTTTGATCGGATGTGGATGAATTCATCAGAAATTTGTGTCCAAAACGAAGTCTTATGTCCGAAATTTGCTTTCGCTGTTTCTTGGATACTGCTTATGGTTGTTGATGTGCTGGAGTCTCTTTTGTTGAAATGATTATTCGTGTGTTCTTCAGGAAAACGACGAAGTGCTTGTGGCTGGTTTTGGTCGAAAGGGTCATGCGGTGGGTGACATTCCCGGTGTACGTTTCAAAATTGTCAAAGTTGCGAATACATCGCTGATTGCGTTGTTCAAAGGGAAGAAGGAAAGGCCACGCTCATGAATTTTATGCGTTTCACACTGTGGCCTCTTACCGTGTCGTCACGAACTGTTATATTGTTAATGCATCAAATCATTTGAACAAAGTTTTACTTGGCCCAATCATTTACACTGCAGCACTCGCTAACAGGTTTAGAGGCTTTCGTTTTTGCTGTCGTTGATCTTATGCGTTTAGCTTCTTATCGAACAGGACA